ACGTCATCCGAATTTGTACGGCCGCTCCTGTCTTGTTTTTACAGATATTAAAAAACACGATGGAGAGCGGACAAGAGTTCTGCATGCAGCAGAATATACACAGGTACAAACACAGAAAGGAGACACATCAGAAAGGAGACACAAACAAAACACAAAAAACTGTCTCCTTTCATCCCCTTTCATGCACAAGTGTCTCCTTTTTGTCTCCTTTTTATCTCTCTATTGTCTCCTTTTTGTCTCTTTACTGTCTCCTTTTTGTCTCTTTATTGTCTCCTTTTTGTCTCCTTTTTGGCTCCTTTCGTCTCTTTACTGTCTCCTTTTTATCTCTCTATTGTCTCCTTATTGTCTCTTTATTGTCTCCTTTTTGTCTCTTTACTGTCTCCTTTTTGTCTCCTCCTTGTCTCCTTTTTGTCTCCTTTTTGGCTCCTTTCGTCTCTTTACTGTCTCCTTTTTGTCTCTTTATTGTCTCCTTTTGTCTCCTCCTTGTCTCCTTTTTGTCTCCTTTTGTCTCCTTATTGTCTCCTTTTGTCTCCTTATTGTCTCCTTTTGTCTCCTTTTGTTTGATCGCAGATGGCGGGTCGCGCAGGGAGGCGAGGGATTGACCCCTGTGGGAATGTTTATGTCTTCGCTCCAGAAGAAATACCTTCTCCGAAGGTTAGACAATCTTTTTGCTGCTGCTGCTGCTGCTGCTGCTGCTGGTGCTGCTGCTGCTGCTGCTGGTGTTGTTGCTGCTGCTGCTGCTGCTGGTGTTGTTGCTGCTGCTGCTGGTGCTGCTATTGCTGGTGGTGGTGCTGCTGTTGCTGGTGGTGGTGCTGGTGTTGCTGCTGCTGCTAGTGTTGTTGCTGCTGCTGCTGCTGTTGCTGCTGCTGCTGTTGCTGGTGGTGGTGCTGCTGCTGTTGCTGTTCTTGTTGCTGCTGTTGCTGCTGATATTCTTGTTGCTGCTGTTGTTGCTTCTGCTGCTGCTGTAACTGCTGCTGTTGCTGCTGCTGCTGGTTCGCTGTTGCGTTTGATATTTTGTGTCTCCTTTTCTGAAGAGGAAGTGTCTCCTTTTCTGTGCTTTGCTCGTCATAGGAAAAAGTTTTTAAAATGCATATATATATATATATATATATATATTTATTGTATATATAATGTATAATATATATATTATTGTACATACATATATAATATAGACATAATATATAAATGTATAATATATATATATATTTATGTGCATATGTATGTGTATATAAATATATATATGTATATAATTATATATACATATATATATGTATATAATTATATATATAATTATATATATATATATATACAATTATAAGCTAGACGCCTAATTTAAACATTGAGACAAATGCGTTAGATGAAAGAAAAGATATATTTTTCCGGAAATGTTTGGCTGCAGGATTTAACAACGATGATGATAGACAGCGCTACCCCTCTGTCTTCTCGTTATCGTTTAACTTATCAGACATTGCTGCTGCTGCATGCAGCAGCAGATTCATTGTCCATCGAAACTCTGCTGCGCAGCAGCTTCAGAGAAGCAGCAAAAACTACTCAAAGACCCGTGCTGCAACGCAACCTTAAAAGATGCGAAAAGGCAAACCCTAAACCCTAATTACACCCAAACCCTAAACCCTAACAAACCCTAAACCCTAATTACACCCAAACCCTAAAACCTAAGAAGCCCTAAACCCTTAGAAGCCCTAACACAAACCCTAAACCCTAATTTTGTGCCAAACCCTAAACCCTACCAATCTGCAAACCGTAATTCGTACACCTTATCAGTCTTCAAAACCCTAAACCCTAGCTGTTTGTAAACCCTAATCCATATACCCTAACCTAAGCTCCTCTAGGGTTTGCATGCACCTCACTTTTCTGAGTTTGCCTACCCCTGATGTTTCTGCAGCGTGTCTAGGGTTTAGGGTTTAGGGTTTAGGGTTTAGGGTTTAGGGTTTAGGGTTTAGGGTTTGTGGTTTTAGGCCCTCGCTGCTCTCCCCCCAGTAAATTGCATTTATGGGGAGCCGACAATTCGTAAATTTGCAGACCTTCAAAAGAAGTGGCATAAAGTAGCAAAAAAAGTACACCTGTAAGCAACTGCTGCTGCTGCTGCTGCTGCTGCTGCTGCTGCTGCTGCAGCT